ATTATCCAAATTGTGCATGTAAACCCGATAGTTTATTTCCTGATGAACTATTGTTATTGACGATGCTCCAAAAGTTTGTGGGCTAGTGTGTTGTTAATTTACTGAACTTTTTTAACGAAATGTTTAGAAGTCTATTTAAAACTTTTTATAAATACATTTTTTTAAACAAAGCAATAGTTGTGTTTAAAAAATTGTTTATCTCATCATCTCTAATAATTCATATTAACATTGGAAATTGGGTAATATAAAAGAAACAATATTAGACATGCATCAAATGCGGTAAATACATTTATTAAAGAAACCATGTTATTCTTCTATTTAACTTATTCTGTCATTACAAATTTATTAATCAAATAATATTTTTTACAAATAAATAATTTATTTGCTTAATTTTCTATTATATAAGTATTGAGAAAAAAACTTCAAATGTAGCAAAAACATTTTTAAAAGCAAAAAGACATACAAAACAAATTAACGTAAGAAAAAAATTAGCAAAATTTCTAGCATACATAACAAATTAGTTTCTTAATTATATGGACTGATAAAAATCGTAAATAAATTGCATATCAAAACATTCAATTGTTGTTAAATCGTTATAAAAGATGTTTTTTTCAACAACTTAAAAAAAAAAAAAAAAATACAAAAGCTGTATAAAAATTTTATAAAAAAAAAATTCATTTTTTAATTACTTTTTTTAATTATTAAATTTTCTAGTTTATTCAATTAGACTTGATATTTCGTTAAAATTTTATTTTTTTTATTTTTGGATTGTTTATTTTCTCTTAGTAGATAGAGTAGTAGAGTAGCTTATTTTCTCTTAGTAGATAGAGTAGTAGAGTAGCTTATTTTCTCTTAGTAGATAGAGTAGTAGAGTAGCTTATTTTCTCTTAGTAGATAGAGTAGTCTTAGTAGAAGTTTAGCTTTTCGCCGCGAATTATTGAAACACTTAAGTTAAAAGATGCGAACTGCCATGGTCAGTTTGCCTAAAAAAATTACTTTAAATGTGGACGAACAAGGGGCACGACCGCACATGCTTCCTGAAAAGGGTTTATATATATATATTTATATATAAATAAATTTACATGTATATATATATATATATAATAAATTTTTGTTTATTCGTTTTTATTTTAATAATTTTGCTTAGAATCTTAAAATGTCTGTATGTTAAATGTTTTTATTTGAATGAATTAAAATTTAAATAAAGCGTTTGTTTTGCCACTTTTTATTTAACAGTTAGGTCAGCAGTCAGTTCAACAGTTAGGTCAGCATTGCCCAATTCCAACCTTAATTTTCAGGGCTATATATACATTTAGACATTGCAAACGTTATATTGGTTTAAGTGAAAATACTTGTGATAACTAAATTAAAAACTTTTTCTATGGATATGACTCTGTTATTGGCTTTTCAGTATGTTATGTCGAGGGAGTTTAGATACTTTCCTTATTAAATTTTTTTATACATGATTTCAAGTGGCCTGGATCATAAACAATTTTGTTAAAGTACTCATGGTGTTTTTACACATTAAATTATATAAAATTTTAAAAATAAAATCCTCTCATAAAACATTTTAATGTCATATTATCCTGCTACTGGCAACATGTAACCCAGTACAGCCTGTTTCATATCTGTTATACTATTTTCAAAAATTCTGGAGAACAATCTGACTTGTCCAACTACTGTCTCATTAGTTTTCTTCCTACCATAAACAAGGTTTTTGAATCTTTAATTAACAAAAACTTAATCTCTAATCTTGAGTCTGATAACTTACTTTTCAATCATCAATATGGATTTCAATCTTCTCGTTCTACAGCTGATTTGCTAACAATAATAATTAATAAGTTTTATCAAGCATTAAATAGAGGTGGAGAAGTTAAGGCTTTTGCTCACAACATTTCCAAAGCTTTTGATAATGTTTGGCATGCTGGTCTTCTCCATAAGCTTTCTTCTTACGGTGTATTAGGTAACATCTTTAAGATTATTGAATCCTTCCTTACTAATAATAGTATAAAAGTTGTCCTTGATGGATAGAATTCATTATATCTGTTACTTTAGGGGTTCCTCAAGATTCTATCCTTGGCCCTATACTCTTTTTAATTTACATTAACGATCTTCCAGATATTCTCTCATCTAAGGCAGCATTGTTCACTGATGATACTACCATTTATTTTTGTCATGATAAGAAGCCAACACTCTCTGATTGCTTGGAGGGGTATTCAAGCTTGAAAAGGATCTCACCTGTGCTACAGCATGGGGCTTACAGTAGCTGGTGAACTTTAATTCAGATAAAACAAAATATTATTTTTTATTAGATCAAACACATTTAGGGGATGGGAGCAGACATTTTCATAAAAAAGTTATTTTTATGGCCACTCTAACATACTTACATCAAGTCAGGGCATTGGCTTGGCCAGGCAATCTTTTTATTAAAAAAATATTTTCTTCTGATCTTATTTTAAAAACTTTTTTTTATGTCACTATAATATGGAAAAAACTTTCAAAAAATCTCTCGAGGGCCTATATGTAAGCCAAAACCCCGAGTCAATAAATTACATTTTTTTCCTCACATTATATACCTATTTTAGTGAATATATTAGCACTACTAGCATGTTTTATTATATTTTTATCTAAGACAGTTAATCTATGCATACTCCTTGCATATTTTATCTATTAAAGTCAGTCAATGTAAGAACACTCTTCACATGTTTTGTCTTTTTAAGCCTGTCAATTAAATATAACGATAACAATTGGCTGAAAATAAATTGGGTTTTATCTGAATTAAAGTTCACCAGCCACTGTGAGCCCCATGTTATAAAAGAAGTCAGATCCTTTCCAAGCTCAAATGCCCCCTCCAAGCAATCAGAGAGTGTTGGCTTCTTATTATGACAAATATAAATGGTAGTATCATCAGCGAACAATGCCACTTTGAGAATATATGGAAGATCATTAATGCAAATTAAAAAAAGTATAGCGCTAAGTATAGAATCTTGAGGAACCCTTAAAGTAAAAGATATGAAGAAGAGTTCTATCTGTCAAGGACAACTTTTATACTACGATTAGTAAGGTAGAATTCAATAATCTTAAAGATGTTACCTGATACAGCGCAAGAAGAAAGATTATGGAGAAGTCCAGCATGCCAAACTTTATCAAAAGCTTTAGAAATGTCAAGAGCCTTAGCCTCTCCACCTCTATCTAATGGACAATAAAACCTATTGGTTATTACTGTTAGCAAATCAGCTGTAGAACGGGAAAATTGAAATCCATATTGATGATCAGAAAGTAAGTTATCAGATTCAAGATGAGAGATTAAGTGTTTGTTAATTAAAGATTCCAAAACCTTGTTTATGATAGGAAGAAGACTGATGGGATGGTAGTTAGACAAATCAGATCGCTTTCCAGAATTTTTGAAAAAAGGGGCAACAGATGCCACCTTCCAGCAGGCTGGAAAACAAGACTCTGATAAGCACTTGTTGACTAGTTTTGAAAGTATGGCAGCTCCGGAGAACACTTCTGCAAGACTACAACAGGTATGTTGTCCAGACCACAAGCTTTAAAAGAGTCTTAAGGTGAGTTTCCACTCATCCGTTTTTCTACCGGAAAGGGAAAGGGAACGGAAAAATAATCATGTGAGCATGCACAGTTTTCTTTCGGACAAATAAAAACTTTTATTATGCATGCTCACGTGATTATTTTTTCCTTTCCTATCCCGTTCCCGTTAAAAAACGGATGAGTGGAAACTCGCCTTAAGCAGGAAATTACTTTAGATACAGAAGCTGGAGTAATACGAATGTCAAGCAATAGATCAACCTGTTTGACGGCTATATCAGGTAGAACGCAACTAATGGAATCAAGAGATGATATTGATGAAAAGTTCTTAGCATTCAGCTAAGAACTTTTGTTTTTATTCATTTGTCTTTAGATGAGGTTACAAAATCTGAACCATACAAGAAAGGTGGAATAACAGATTTGCGCTTATTATAAATACTGTTAAAAATTTTCCAAAAGTTACAAGAGCTTAATTTTTGAGATGAAATACAATATTTCATGAGCTAAGAATAACGGGCTTTGGCATTAGACAAAACTTTTTTACAATGGTTTCTAGCAATAGTAAAGCACCTAAGGGTAAATGTGGAGAAACTGAGCATTAACTAGGATCAGAAACAAGACATAAGTCGAGTAGAGAAGGTAAATGATTCGAGTTGTCTGGAAAGCAATTTGGAAAGTTGACTACTTGAGAGATTGAGAAAAGTTTTATGCTTTAATGCCTGCAGAGTCACTGACACTAGAGCCAACCTATCCAGTGTGATGAGCATTAAAGTCACCAACAACAACGGTATTGGCTGATGAATAAAGAGAGAGGGCTTGATTAATTTGATAAGAAATGATATCGAATGAGTGCAGTCTTGAGATGAAGGAGAGCGATATAGAACAAAGAGAAAAGCGATAGAGTAAAGTGGTGCTAAACGAAAGCACATAAATGAATAGTCTTTGGATTCAAACCAACTTACCCGACAAATGGGTGAATTCTTAATAATGTAAATGCCCATGCTAAGTATGTGTTTATTGGAGTCTTAACAAATAAAAGGAAGATAACCATCAACACTAAAATCACAAGATAAGACAGCCGAACTCAAATTAGTCTCACAAAGAGCAAGTAGGTCTGATGAAATTTGCAGGAGAAATGACTCAACAGAAGAAAAGTTATTTTGAAGATAGTGAATAATAAGTTTAGAAAACTTGGTGATGGCTATGGTTTTTTAAGTTATTACTTTCCTTCTATAAAACAGTAGCCCAATGCATTTAATATGACCAAGATGAGTATTTTTATCAAAACACCATTTCTAATCTCTTCATAAACGAAAGGTTCCAAGATTGATCTCTACCACGTCCCTAAAATCCTTAAAAAATAGTAAATCTGAAACAGATAGCCCTAGAGTTAAAAATAATAACAAAAAATAAAATATTTATAAACTGATCCTATAATTAATTTTAAATTTAACCTGTCTATGCATATATTCTTGTAAATCTTGGAAAGCCATATCTAATTCATTAAGTAACTGGTCTCTTTCTGATTCCATTTTGTCGTAAACGTTAGCAAGTTGAAGCGTTTGACTATGTTCTGTTTCTAATTCCTCTAAACATTTCTCTAGCTCACCTAAAAATTATGTTTAACAGGTAATTCTTACTTTTGATTTTAAATTTAGATAAAATTGTAACTTTACAATTATATTTAAGGTACAACCTGAACACTTAAATATGTGTGTAATACACGCTTGTCAGGTTTACTAAAAACATTTCAACATTTGAGTAAGTTTCAGTCTATATCCAGCTATTTTTAAAAATCTAGTCAAGCTGTTAATTTTTTCTAGAAACAAGCATGTTTAACACTTGATAGATTTAAACAAAACTTATTGTCATGCCTTTCATAGTATAACAACATTCTGAATTAAGGTTTTTGAATTAAGGTTTTACATTCAAGGATGTTTACAAATAATAAATATACTAATATAAAGTAAACACCTACTAATGTTAATAATGTCTAATTAAAATAAATATAATGCTAATTTTCACAATATATAATAACGATAATAAACTTTATAACATAAAATAACGATGTAATATAAATAACGATGTTATAACAATAAAAATAATAACAATAATAACAATAATAATAATAACAATAATAACAACAATATTAGTATTATTAATAAAAAAAGTTAAAAGTAGTTATCAATAGTAAATATTAGTAAAAATAACAAAATAACAATAATCAATAAAAAATATAGAATAGAAATTGTAATATATATATATATATATATATATATATATATATATATAGGCTTTGGCAGGAATGACGGGCTATAGCCCGTGTCCGTCTCCGCACCCGTCTAAGTCAGTTTAGACGGGTGAAATAAAGCCCGTCTGAAACATAAGTTTTGTGTAAAAAAAAAAGATGAATATCTTGATGTTTTTTTATTAAGATACTCTTTTAAAACTTCTCTCATGACATAATTTTAATATGGACAGCAAACTCCAACTTATAATTGTTTATATTTAAATATAAAAATTAAACAATTTAATCATTATTGTATAACATGATGTAGAAAATAATATAACTAAATCTTACAGTTTTTTAAACGACGATAACTGTTTGATATAATACCAAACAGTTACCATATTATGTTCAAAATTTAATAACTATTATATTAAATAGGGAAATATACACATGTGATGCACAAGAAGTATGATGTTGTTTTGGTTTTTCAATGTTTATAATAATAACGATAATAAACTAATTATCCATGTATTTCGCTTTTTTCCGATAAACTAGTTTGTCTTACTTTAAAGACATTTAAAGTGATATTTCCGCGTTAACTTCCGCGTTAACTTCACGTTTTTTCTTAAAGAGACAGCAGTTTATTTAATATGCCTGTAGTCTCCTGACAATGCTTATGACAGATCAAAGACTGCGTTATTAATCACAAAACACTTAACGCTATCTTGGCTATTAAAATAAATGATCCGAATTTTACCAATAGTGACAGAGAAAATGTTATTGAACGTGTTACTGATGTTTTTTTACAAAAACGACGAACAGCTATTTTTGATCCGATCAGCTTAAGACTTGCTACAAAAGAAAATGACAAAAAAGAAGACATAGATTTCATTGAATCAGATTTAAGCAGTGAAAGTGAATTGGAAATATCAGAATCGAGTGGAAGTGAAGAAACTGAGTTAGATTTTGAAATTGAAGAAGTTTTGCCCTAATTTTTGTGAAACAATTGTTAATAAATAAAATATAACTATACACATTTCCTTTTTTATCCTATGTATAAAAAAATATAAATACATTTGTCTTCATATTTTCTTTGTTATACTAACACTATTTAACGCATTTGAATTCAATATAAATATATTTTACAACAATAAATCTGGTATCTATAATAAAACTGAATTCAAGCTTGTTGGATAAAAGTCAACAAGCGGTTGAATTCAATCTTTTTTTCAATTATATAACGCTTATATACATGCTTATATTGTATATAAAGTAACGGAAGCCCCGGTATCTTAAGAAATTATTAGTACTTCTAAATAAAAACTTATTTTATTAAAAGAAATTAGATTTCAAATTTTTTATTTACGTATCAGAATAACTATTTCTGATCAGGATAGGCATAGGTAAAGCAAAGTTATAAAAATATAAATAACAGTTTAAGTTTTTAATTTGCACGCCCAATAGAATGCAAGAGTATATAAATAATTGAATTTGAAAAATAACATAGTTACGTATCATATTACCAAGCTAATACCAAACAATTCTAAAACTATCGAGCTCATTGATTCAAGGTTAAAAAAAAAAGATTTCAAACTATTTGCTGAATAATTAAAAAAATTAGATTTTGAAAATATTATGTAATATTTTTATTCACAAAGAATAAGAGAAACGAATGAACTAAAAAAGCACGATAAAAACCTGTATAATTTAATCGAATACTTGAATAAAACAATAATATATAAATATACTCAAAAAGACTTCGGTAAAAAAACACGTTAGAAACACCTCGAAACGCCATGGTTGTTTCGAGGATTTTTCCCGTCGTTTTCACGTTCATTTGTTTGACTATATCTGCCAGATATTATCTGGAATAAAGATTTAAAAAAAAAACATAAAAAACTGAATAAAGTTCCTTCGAGTAAGAAATCTAAACAAAAGCAACCATAAAACAACTAACCCACATGAAACGAAATTAGATCTGTGCAAGTGAAAACTTTGAAAAACAGTTATTGAAATCTTAGTTTTAAGTATTATCCAACTCATTTACTGCAGTGTTTTAATTACTTAAGTAATTAAGCATTTTAAACAGTTAATCGCTTTCTAACATATTATTTTAGTGCAATTCACAAAATGTTTAATATTCAATGACATTTTCATTCAAAAAGAAGAAGAGAAATTAACAAATTTAAAAAAAAAAAAGTTCAAACTTTAGAATTTTTTTTAAAGTTTAAAAAAGCCCGTGCAAGACCATCTAGACAGGCGGCCCTCATAAGACAACAAAAATTGATTATAGAAATTATAAACATTAACTATATTTTTTAAATAAAAAATAGAATAAACTGGTTTTAAAGGTTGGGAATGAATCGAGAGCTTTTAGTTCATAAGGAAGGTAGTTTTCCAAGTTTTAGTGCTTTGATATTTTATGGATTTATGCCCATAATTATGAGAGCGCTTTTTAGTGACAGACAGGTTTAAATTACTATCGAAACGAAGGTGATAACGATTGTTGGCACTTTTGGAAAAGAAATTAATGAAAGTTAAAGGTAGGTTATTGTGTTGGTGGTTTCAGACAAATTGACAGTTTAAAAGTTGAATATAGTCACATAGTTTTAATACTTTAGAAGTTAGGTAGAGCACATTAGGATCAAATTTAATATTCTGAAAATGAATAATTTTTAGAGCCTTGTTTTGGAGGTGGGATAACCTAATAAGAGCTTTTTGATGGGACTGTCCCCATACTTGGCATGCATATCTAAGATGTGAGCCAAAAATAGCATGGTATATGCTCAAGAGTGTTCTCAAAATTAACATAATGGCGAATTTTGGCCAACATACCATTAGATCTACTTAGTTTCGTTGCTAAGTCTTTACAGTGGGATAAAAAGGAAAGATTTGAACCGATTTTTATACCAAGATATTTAATTGAGTTAACAGGTTCAATTTTTTTGTCACTTAATCTAAAGTTCATATGTTTATAGATTTTTGTTTTATTTGATTTAAAGATAATGAGTTCAGTTTTATTAGAGTTTAGAAAAAGTTTGTTGGAGCGAAGCCACTGAATTAGATTGGCAAGATCATGGTTAATGTGTTTGCCAATTTTTTTAAGGGACTTATTAATTAGTATTAGATTAGTATCATCAGCAAAGTGGTAAACAGTAGCAAACTTAATGGATGTATGAAGATCATTAATATAAAAAAGAAAAAGTAGTGGTCCTAATACTGAACTCTGAGGAACACCATTAGAACATTTTACAAGGGTAGATTTTGAGTCATTAATAGAAACAAATTGTGTTTGTAATAAGACCAGATATTTCATTTTCAGTTACTGGATTAATAAAAAACGAATTAGCATTTAATGAATGTTAAGAAAGTCACTAAATATGCGTTTAGGGGGTATGGCTTTGCTAAGTAGTTGGTTGTGTATAGTGCTAAAATAATTATTAAATATATTAGATACGGCAGTGTGATCAGTGATAAGATTTTCGTTCAATTTAAGTTTAAAAAATGTATTGTGTGTAGAAGGTCTAATATTAATAATTTCTTTTATTCCCTTCCAGGTGTTTTTAATATTGTTCAGATTATTGTTAAAATAAGTAATAAAGTATGTTTTTTTGCTAAATTTTAATAAATTAGAAATTTTGTTTCTATAAAATTTAAATTTTGCAAATAATTCATTTTTCTTATAAATATTTTTTGATTTTATAAACTTTTTATAAAGTTTGTTTTTAACTGAAATAGATTTAAGTATTCCATACGTAATCCAAGGTTTTGATTTTAGTTTAATTTGTTGGTTGGTTAGTATTTTATAAGGAGCATGTCAGTCCAAGATTTCATCAAACGTTTTTAAAATAAAATTCATGGATTTATTAACATCATCATCTTTTTCTAATAAAGAGTTCCCAGTTGATATCAGAAATTTCTTCAATAAATATATTTTTATGAAGTTTTTTGAAGCATCGTCTGTAAGTTTTTACTTTTCTGGGGTGGTGGGGTATGCCAGGAATGCAAATAAATTGTGCCATGTGGTCTGAAATTGAAATAGTAAGGTTATCTGAAAATTGATCAGTTGAATGAAAGTTCGTAAATATGTTATTAATGAGCCTTTTTGATGTAGCTGTTATGCGTGATGGCAAAATTATAGAAGGGTTTAGCGAGTATGAGGTTAAAGAATCTAGATATGTAGAAACAGGGTTAGATTCATTGTGACTTAATAAATCCATATTAAAATCATCCAATAGAAAAATATTTTTTTTTTCGTTACTTAACTTTTTAAGTAGAGGAGTTAAGTGGGAAGAAGTAAATTCATATTGATTCATTGAGGGATGATGATAAATGCAACCAATTATTATATTTGGTTCAAAAGGTATTAAAATTTCAACAAAAAGAGACTCTAAATGTTTTGAAGAGTAAATCATAAGATCATTGCGAACGACGTAGTTTAAATTTGAGCGTAAGTATAAAAGTGCTCCACCTTTTTTAGCCTCAGTAGGGCAATGCTCAATATTAAACCCGTTTATGTATATCAGTTATATTTGTATCGTTTATATATAAATTAGGTTCTGTAATACCTATTGCTAAGGGAAAATTATTAAGAGAGCTGGGGAAATTATTAAGACTACAGAGTTTGTCAATATAGAATGGTAGAGAAGGGATGTTAAGATGAATATATAGCTCTGAATTAGGAAGCATAGTTTTATTGAGATCAACAATGTCATAGTATTTGCAATTAACAGAACTGGGAAATTTATTTAGATCTTTAAAGATATTTTTATGATTACTTGGAGTCTCAAAAGAATATAATGAACTAGTAGATATATTTTTGCATAATAATGTTGACTTAAGCACCAAGTTGGAAATCGAGCTAAAGCCCATACTCAATGCACAATCATATAGAAAGGTTATATGATTGTGCATTGAAATGGTTACACTTTGCATGGACCCATGAGTTACAAAGATCACATTGGATGGCTCTTTGATTGTCAGTTATATTTTTATGACAAGTATTGCAGAGAGATTTAAATGCCATAATCTTTAGAAAAAATATATATATGTATATACAGTATTAACTAGTTAAAGTGACTAAAGTGTGAAATAGAGATAACTGTTGGCGCGAATAATCAAAAATAATTTTAATAACAATATAAAGAAATGATAAAAAAAATTTGTAACACTAAAGAAAGCTAAAAGCTAACAGTTATAAAATTAAACAATCAAAATAAATAACTTTGACAAACCACGAACTAATATTTACAGTAACTAAGACAACTAAAGATATCAAATATAAAAAAATAACTAATAATACATTAATAATAAAGTATATAAATCATAAAGTATATAGACCTAATCTTCCACTTTGTAAATACTCTATTATTTTAGTACACATTGCATGCAGCTAAACTTAATGCTTAATTATTATACTAATAATATATACTAATAATAATAACTACAGTTAACTGCTACCAATATTAATATTGTTAACAAAGATACTAAAATAATAATAAGTAAAAATAAGTCAATAATAAGTCTATAAAAATATAATATTAAATATATATGTAATAAATAAAATAAGTAGGTATCAAACAAGGACTAAAAATAAATACAATTAACTATAAAAAAAATTATATAATGTGAGAAAACAAATAATAATATGACTGAAAAATAATAATAACTAATGAATTAAAAATAATAATTCAATGGGCTAAACAAAGTTCTCTTACAGAGTAAATATTATCTGAAATAGAACATACTTGATGCAAATTTTATTAATAAATACACTGTGCTTATTCAAGATGTACTAATTTAATGTAACTATTTATTATTCAACTTAATAAAAACAAATTTTTTTTAAAGACATAATAATATTAAGTTACCAATTAAAGAGTCTTTTTTTAAAACAGATAAATCATTGATTTTCAGTCTAGAAAAAACACGCTGCAGTACAATTTTTTTATCTAAATCACTATGCAAATTATCCTCAGAAACACTCTTTGATACTGGTTTTACTGTTGCAACTTGTAAAGACTTTTCTTTGTTTTGTAAACTCCAACTTCCACCAGAGTATGAATGACATCTCTCCATTTTATTAAATAAATATATAGCTTAAAAAAATATTATTGCTAAAATTCCAAACACAATACATTATTAACATGCAACATTAACTTTGATATACTATTAAAAAGAATTGCTATTTAAATAAACTAGATATTAAAAACAACAAATAAGTAATAACTTTTATTTGTTACCCAAATGTAAAATAAAAAATATGCACATTTTTTTCATGCACAAATTATAACAAAATTTTACAGTATTCCCACTAAGAAAAAATCCTATGATCTTCTAACAAACAATGACAGAGAAAATTTAGACCATGAAAATGACTACAACTTGTCACAAATATTTGTTTAATTAAACCTTGTTTTCCGGAAGTAAATTAATTGTAATTTAAAGTAAAATACATTCATTTTTTTTAAATACTTATTTAACTATTATATATATATATATATATATATATATATATATATATATATATATATATATATATATATATATATATATATATATATATATATATATATATATAAATATATATATATATATATATATATATATATATATATATATACATACATATATATATAACAAAAGCATATACAAATATTAAATATTATAAACAAAATATTTAACTTGTATAAAAAAAAAATTTCATTTAAATATAGACAAAACGAGCTTTTCATGTTACAATTGCGTAAAGTGAACAGTATTGCGTATGCGGAAGCAAAGTTAATAGTGAAAGGAAATAAATAAAAGTTAAATAAAAATAAACGCTTAGGAGGAGCGAACTGTTATTGCATTCCTACTAGATTCTGAAATAATAACAAACATTTAGAAACATGTTAAATGTTAGGAATATAAAAAATAGATTATCTTTAAGCTTAATGATACAAGGGATGATACATGATCTCCGAGTTAAGGATTATAAGAACGCAATGATATATTGTAAGTAATATATCAAATAATCGCTGTTTTCTGAGAGATAAGGCACAATAGACATTTCATCAGCATTTTTTTTTTATCGGGGAAACATATATATCGGAGGAGAAAGAAGGAGGATGGGTACAAAAAATACTACACAAGGAAAAATTGAAAAAGTGGTTCAACTTCATATTTTAATGAAATTAAACGAAAAATTGTTAGGAAACTAAACCACAAAAAAAAGTTAATTAAAATTTAAAAAAGTCTTGGAAATTATTTTCTTAACTGTTCATAGGGTATAAACAAGTTATAAATACAATAAAATAATTTATAAAATATTTTTAAATTGTTATGAAAATATCTATAGCAACAGTAATATTCTAAAAAGTTTCTTTGATCGTCTTATTTCTTTGATTTCTTTTAATGAAATCTTGCAAACTTATTGAAATTATATTTAATATTGTTGACTGATAGAGAAGAAACCACGTAGTGCTTGAGAACAAGGCTTTCGATTGAGGCGCAATTATTTTAAGTAGAAAGTCTACGCGAATAATTGCATGGTTTTGAATGTTATTACGTAAATTGCCAGCAGGATTAACATGGGAAAGACAATTAGATTTATTAATTGGATTGATAAACTTGACTTTAGAGAAAACATAGTGTTTTTCGTGTTTTTTTTAGTAGTTTAAAAATAATATTATCGTTTATAAAACTACTGTAAAAAATATAAAATTATCTTTTCCGTGTGTTAGGTAAAATTTTATTTTAAGAGTATTATCAAACAACATGATACCAAGAAAAACATGTTATAATAATAATAGCATAATTGTTTGGTGTTTGAAATTAATTGACTGATTCGATTGATTATATTCATGTTGTGATAGGTCAAGAATTTCGTGATGAGGAAAAGTTAACCTAATTTTATCTAAATATTTTGTTATTTTAAATGCTAACTGAATTTTATCTTAAGAAATTAATTTAAATTAGTTGCTAATACATAGCGGCCAATTTTATAGAAATAAAAAAAGACAATTTTACCCAAAGTAAGAGTTGGAATGCTCGATTCTTAACAAGTTATGCAAATGGGTTTAATTACACTGTATACAATAGTTGTAATTACACGGTATACACAATACTATACGACTATATACGATATACGACTATATACGACTGCTTTTCAACAGTTTTATTTGGTTAAAAGTTGTACTTATATAAATATTTTAGGTAATACAAACATTTCTTAAAATTAAAAAAGAATTTTTTTGTTGATTCAAAACTTAAGACTTTAACGCGTTAAATTGTATGCTGAAATCTAAATTTTCTAAATCTCCAAATTTATTTAACTGTTTGCAATCGGCGTGCTTCGTATCCAATTAATTATTAGCCTATATAATAATTATATAAGGTAATAATTTAATTGGACAAAAAAACTATTTTAAAACATAAAACTTTTTTATAAGTCATATAAAGACATTTTTAAATAATTATAAAACGTTTCAAATGCAAGGCTTCAAAACTATTTACTTACTACGCCCTCAAACCTTTTGAGGGCGTAAGTAAATTGCGGTTGAAACGTTCTATAGTTATTTAAAAATGTCTTTATATGACTTATAAAAAAAACTTATGTTTTAAAATAATTTTTTTGTAGTTTTGTGCAAATGTAAAATTCTTCTATAAATAGTTCTTTAAAATAGTCAGACTTATTTAAAAAACACATATATCTGAGAATTTTAGTAATTCAGTTAAATGATAACACGATATAATACGATAGAAACATGATAACACGATATAATACGATAGAAACATGATAACACGATATAATACGATAGAAACATTCTATTGTTTCAAGACTGTTCTACAGATTATAAATTCTTGGACGGAAATGAATAAAGGTTTTTTTTTCAGTTTTGCCAATCGATGATATATTGTGATAAGAAATTTTATTTTGTGAAAAGATTCTTTTTAAACACAATTTTTGGAATCACGTAAAGGGGTTTGTTTAATCATGACAACGTGTAATGCTTTAATTAGCTTTTTTCGAATACAATTTTATTATTTTATAGCCGCCTAAATATATCTTCTGAATTGGCGTATTTATGGGGCTTTATTGCATGCTTTCTTTTTCTCTCTTTTTTTTTGTGATACATGCTTTTAAATAGGAAGGAGGAGGGAAGGGGTTGGGGTAATTTGATTTTTTGGTGTTTGAGATAACAAAATTTCAGATTTGAAGAAAACTCCGATCAATTATAGGTTTACTATGTCAAACAAAGATGCTTAGCAAAACATAGCAATTATTTAAGCTAGGGAATAAATAAGTTCAAATTTTCAACACCCCTCATACCCCAAATGCGAGAGCATTAAATTTATAATTTTTTTTTTTTACTATTCTTAACTAAATTTATATTCATTATTAAATTTCAAATTTCATTCAGCAATCTTTAAGCGTTAAAAAGTTATGGCGTATAAAGCTTCGTCGATCTTCGTCAATTAGGAGGGTTGCAAACTTTACATGACGATAATTTTTAAACACACAAAAAAACAATTTTGCTCTATACAAAATAGTAAAGCATGGCAACAAACAAACAATTTTTGTTATCTGAATTTTTTAAGGATGGTTAATAACATAACAATGTAATATCAGTGCTAACAATGTAATATCGTTAATTGAAAAAAAAATTCTTCTCTATAAATATTAAGGGTTGGCGCCAGCATTTTTTGGTCTTCGAGATATCTAACTTTGAGACATAAAGCAAACTCCAAACATTTATATGTTTATACTTATGTCAAATAAGGATGCTTTGCAAAAATTTAAGATAATTGGAGCCTGGGGAAAAAATGTTTAAAAATTTTAGCCCCCCTGTCCCAAACGTGAGAGCAATAAGTTGATGAAATATTTTTTGAACTATTTTCAACTAGACTTAAATTCATTCATAAATTTTAAATTTCATAGTAAAATATTTAGCGTTCAAAAAATATAAAGTTCAAACCCCCCCTCAATGCGAGGGGATAGCAAATTTTATATGGTCATCATTTTTGAACGCTGTGAAATTATATTATGAAACTTAAAATTTCTCGATGAATATAAGTCTAGTGGAAAATAGTGCAAAAAATATTTCATCAACTTATTGCTCTCACGTTTGGGACAGGGGGCAAAAATTTTAGGGCTTTTTTTTCCCAGGCTCCAATCATCGCAATTTTTCGCAAACCATCTTTATTTGACATATTTTAATGTATGAGTACTCATATTTTAATGTATGAGTACTCATATTTTAATGTATGAGTACTCATATTTTAATGTATGAGTACTCATATTTTAATGTATGAGTACTCATATTTTAACCTATGAGTACCCATATTTTCTTTCCATACCCATGGCTTACTTAAATACATGGCCTTCTATTCTCCTTAAATCGAAATTTTAGAAAAACAAGAAATTTTGAGACTGTACAAAAAATAATAATATAGAAGTTCTAAAAAAAGCTTTAAAAGTATAAAAAAAAAAGCACAAACTGATTTAAAAGGTAAAGCAAAATATTTTTATTTTTTTTTTCTTTCTTTTTATAACGGCAACAATGTTTTCTGCAACAATGAAACCACTGACTCTCTTTCTTGTTTATTAAAATATTTGAAATACTTACGGTGTCGCATTTGAGACTGATAAATAACATCAAATACATGATCTAGCATAGCAAAACTGTCACAGAACAAAACTGTCATTATTCTATTAGCGATGGAGTTGTTAGACCACCTCTAGACAATTTATTTAAATAATTATAACCATTCGACCCCTGTTGACAATGTTAAGTACAATTTACAACATATTTTGAACTTTTTAATCAGTTTTTTATAAAATTAGCAGTATAACTGCCAACTTTACGAGAAGAATCTGAGTCACACAATCTAAATTTATTTTCTTGGTCTAATCCATCAATGATCTAGCATGTTGTGTATCTTTAACAGTATTAATATCATTTCAAAAAATTTGAACTCCTATTTCTTTAAAATCAACAAGATAAGCCACAGGTTTATCAATAAAAAGACAGTTTGCAATTATTAGTACTACATTAAGTAATATTCGCATAGTTGAAATAACAATGAAATGAGAAGTTGAATTAAACTTAGGCACTTAGCATTAGAACAAGACCCAAAAGCGTTTTTCAGTCTGTAAACCCTCACAAAAGGCGACTATTGAATAATAAAAAAGGCAGAAATAACTGTTTGAGAACGGAATATTTTTTATTATTATGAGAACTCGTAGGAGGCGATGTTCCAAAAGACGAATTTCGCAGATTTTTTTATTATTAATGAGATTTTTGTACTAATATAGCTTTATATACCAGACACATTCCACACTTTTTGATTCCAGACTTTAATTAGGTACAAAATTATAGGTTTTAGAAAAATCTATAAATTTTTAACAGATCAATTTAAATAGTTTAAAACTTATTTAGGGGGCACAACCCTATTAACAAGTGTAAATTATTTAAAATGTTTTTTTTTTTCAAAAATACACTTAACTCAAATTTATCGTAGAAACTGTTGGCAATACTGATTTTTTCCAAATAGATACTGAAATTGGTCAAAATTTTATTTATTTAGACATTTGTTGTTTTAATTCCCTTAGCAGCGCACGTAGCGACCGTTTTGAAGTGCTTTTACCTATTTTAGCACTATTTGAAATTTGATTTTAGATTTTGCAAGTAGCTTTTTGATTGTACAACCAACATAATAGAGATAATGCTGAGAAATCACAAGGTTCTTCCAGTTGACTTACTGATTTAATTCTTGCCAAAAATTGGTTAAATATGTTTAATTTTTAGTTTTATAACAATTTGTTATACTTTATAAGATAATCTTGTTGCTGTTTAGCTAAATATATTTATTTATAAAGTATATCTAACAAATTTAAAAATATATATACAAATTGAAGTGGAAAGACCATCTCGTAAACTTCGATCTAAACATCAAAAAAGTATGTTTCAAAACATCAAAAATGTTTCGTAATAACTAACACTCTTTTATTCGACAAGTTTTTTCCGAAAGCTCCGGAGTTAAAATTAAAGATAGCAGCACAAAAAAGTTTCTAATAAAAAGTTAAATGGTTTAAAGGTTGAAGTAATTGATGACTGTTGTAATAAAAACATTTATTTTAAAGTAGCCTCCTCGTCTGTAGTGGCCTTCTCGGCCTTGAGGAGGTGAAGTAAAATTAAAAAAAAAAAAATTTAAGGGAACTGAATAGTTAAGATGACAATGTTAGCTGAGTTATTTAACATCCAGAGTGTGCACATTCAATAAAGCTAATTCAAAATCAGAAGTTAGGAATTGCTTTCGAACTTAAGTTGTAATGTACACTTTGTGGTTTAAATGGCTCTGAACTTTAAAGAAAGATAAGAAACAAAAAATTTTGACATTAATAGTTGAATGTTTTGCGTATGATAGGGTATGTAGTATGCGTAGAACAGGGAATTTATGAAACTGTTTTTTTATGAATAAAGTTGCATTTAATGTTTAACCATAGTGCAACACTTAATAGATAAAAAGGTTCAAGAAACATAATTATTGTTATAAAGAAAATTTCTATAAATTTAATAAGATAATAATATTTTACTAACTTTGTTTGACTGTGGATATTTCAGAAACGGTTTGACCTAAACTTATCATACTTGGACAGTTTGTTGACTTTGTATCAAGTTGTGCAATGAACCGCACAGTTATATGAATGTATGTGTTAAAAACAAAATATAGTCATGTTTTAGTCACCATGGGGTAAAATTAGCATCGCTTTTAAATCATTTCAGAAATGAAGCACGGTCTTAAAGAATAAGTTAGTTATGAAGTCTTTGAGGTTTGTTGCAAACCTCTAACACCAAGCTAGTTATATTTAATTTTATTCTATGTGATATATATACATACATATATATATATATATATATATATATATATATATATATATATATATATATATATATATATATATATATAAATTTTTGTTTTAGTTAAGCATTATAAATTCTAGCAAAAAAAATACACTAAACTAACAATTAACGAATAAAAAATGCACTTTAAAATAGATTTTTTAAGAAAAGAAAAGGAAAAAAAAATTACAAAAGCAGCATATTTTTTACAATAAAGTTTTCATCATTAACCCGATCATTATTATTATTAAAACCAGTGATATTTTTTAACAAAAAAAAGTAATAAAAAAAGTTCTCAATTAACTTCAAACAATTTTTGGAATTTTTTATCAGAACAAAATTAAAAACGTAAAAATTAGAAATTTTTTTAAATAAGACTAGCTCTTGGCTAACTCAGCTCCAATTTTGTAAGAAACAATTTTGCTCCAGTCAATTTTAGTACGCGTTATCGGTAGCTGACGTCTTAATGCCTTGAATGTTGTTTCAGACATCGTCTGATAATTTTCGCCTATAGCTCTCTATAGCAAAGATAAAAGTTGTATAAAGATATAAATATTATTGGAAAAAAACATTTTAATATAACTTACCTGATACGTAGATTCACTTTCCTCGGCAATCTTTGAAATATCTTTGCCTAAGCTATCAGGATCCTTAAAAAAAGAAGTTAGTAAACTTGTAGTTCACTTTTTGTAATCAACTCACAAAAGATTTAGTGGTTCATAAACTTTGTTAAAACGACTTTGCTTTGAGTGGAGAAATTGAACATAGAAATATATAAAAATGGAATGCATATGATAAAGATAAAAATTATTGAAGAATACCTAATATATTTGTAGTTTTTGGTTAAAAAGAGTTCAAAAGAGATGCTTTTGAGGCTACATGAAGATGTTTTATTTTTTAGAATTGCAAAGCTTTTTAATTTAACTTTAAAATTATATCAAAAAGTTTTAAACTAATTTAATAGAAAAATCACACTAAAAGAAATCTTTTTTTTTTTAAACATAATTGCATTATAAAAAAGTCAGTTTTATTGTTTTTTAATAAACATTCATTTACCATTTAATTGCCATTATTCTAAATTCTTATCTTATAGTCCAAATAAATAAAAATGGACTAAAAATTCTTATAAATTTTCATTATAGAGTTAACCTATACATTTTCTATAAACGAATCAATGATAAAGAAAACCTTGAAATATTTAAATGTTTTCAAATATTTAAATGTTTTCAAACTTTTTTAAATAAGTCTACTTCTACTCTAATACTCTAAGTCTACTACTAATAAATAACTCTACGTCTACTACTAATAAATAACTCTACGTCTACTACTAATAAATAACTCTACGTCTACTACTAATAAATAACTCTACGTCTACTACTAATAAATAACTCTACGTCTACTACTAATAAATAACTCTACGTCTACTACTAATAAATAACTCTACGTCTACTACTAATAAATAACTCTAAGTCTACTACTAATAAATAACTCTACGTCTACTACTAATAAATAACTCTACGTCTACTACTAATAAATAACTCTACGTCTACTACTAATAAATAACTCTAAGTCTACTACTAATAAATAACTCTACGTCTACTACTAATAAATAACTCTACGTCTACTACTAATAAATAACTCTACGTCTACTACTAATAAATAACTCTACGTCTACTACTAATAAATAACTCTAAGTCTACTACTAATAAATAACTCTAAGTCTACTACTAATAAGTAACTTCCTTTTTAATGTACCAATTATAAATAAAATTTTAAAATAAAAATACCGTAATATGAATGTCTTTTGATACTTCTTTATTCGAAACAAGTTGAACATTTCCATCTTCATAATAATGAACCTAACAAGAAAGTTTTTTTTAATATTTATTTCAGGATAATTTGTTTGTAATATATTCTCTTTTACAGAATATAATCAAGTATTTGTTTTATATCTTTTGTCTCATCATTTTTAAAAAATATATTTGACATACTTGTACTTTAAATACACCCTTTAATTGTGCGGAACCAGCTGATGGACCAGCTGATGGATTAAAAGTGACAGTCCATTCAGATCGCCAACGACCATTCCTAAATAAAAAATTAAAAAAAAAGAGTTTGACATAAAAAAATTTTATAATACAGTTCATAATGAAAAAAAAAAAAAAAAAAAAACTTAAAAACAATTAATATTTTTCAAAGTCCCTCATGCACATCAACATGTAAAAATTACCAAGTAAAACTAGTCAGTTTTTTAAAAGAATGATAACCTTAACTTAGCTTCTTTAAAAGTTTGGACTAAAAATTTGGATTGTGGTCAATTTTTTAAATAAATGATAATCTTAACTTCTTTAATTTTTATTCAGATTTTCATACTCAAAAGATTTACTTATACAATATATTGATTGCAATACTTATACATTACCTCATTTAAACCGACAACAAAACAAGTTTTAAAAGAAGTATTTTTCTCTTTGTATAATTTCATTCACATCAAATTTACAACTTGTTTAATTTCATTGCAAAAGGGCAAAAAGCTATTTAAATAAAATAACATCACAATGTTATTTTTATAAGACACGATTAAGATGCAGACTAAGCGCAAATACAGGTTTGGTGTGAATGGGGGAGTTGGTCAATTTATTTTGGTCTTACTTTAGGTAGGATTATGTTTTAAATTGAGTAATTTTAACCAACATGCATATTTATTTTCAAATTATTAGTAATAATTTTATAAAAAAACAAAAAGAAATATTTTTAAAAACTCAAGTTTTGGAAACTAAAATTTATCTAAACTGCAAAATACTTAAAAAAAAATCTTTTTTACTAAATTGTATTAAAGAAAAACCAAAATATTTTTAAAAAAACATTTTAATTGTACTTACTATATAACGTCATACTATATAGATTACTATATAACATTAACATTTTAATTGTACTTTCTATATAACATTAACAATAGAGTAAAACTAATAATCTAAAAGTTTACAATCATGATTTTCATAAATATAAAATGACTTTTAAAATATTACATCATCAAATACCAATATGATAATGGTTTAATAAAAGTTTGCACTTAGCCAGCCTACATCATTGTATGCATTTTACCAAGTATTTTTACATCTGTATATTTCAAAAAACCTTTATCACATTTACTTTTGAATGAAATCTTTTATTATTATTCATAAAGTTATAAAATATCCAATATAATTATTCAATAATAATGCCTGACCTTAAAATAATCCAAAATATGACCTTAACCAACAATAATGTCTGAATTTAAAATACTCAATATCTAAATCTAAAATACTTAAAATAATATTATCTTATTAAACAGTTATGTAAATGAGCATTTCATTTTCAATTGTATATTGCTTTTCATAAATTGTATATGGCTTTTCATAAATTGTATATTGCTTTTCATAAATTGTATATTGCTTTTCACATGTTTAAATAAAAAAGATTAATGTTTTCGCATTCACATGTTTAAAAAAAAATATGCACACTGTTTATTACTATTTGTTACAGATTCAGTTGATTCTTGAAATGAGTAATTAATTTATATAATTTAATATTAAATTAAGTAGACTTTATTTTTAAAATAATAAAATTTATTCTAAAAAATCTTAATAAATATACCAAAAATTTTGAGGTTGAAATAAGTGATCTTCAATGCAAATTACTAATGTTATATCTTGATTAGAGCTGCTGCTGAATACCTACACATTATAAAACAAAAAACGTCAGAATACTAAAAACTTAATGAAACAAGATTTTTTGAGATTAATATATTGCTAATATAATTTTTTTACCATGGCCAATGTTTTAAAAATTATAAGCAGGAAATACAAATTATAAATACATTCATATATATATATATATATATATATATATATATATATATATATATATATATATATATATATATATATATATATATATATATATATATATATATATATATATATATATATATATATATATATATATATATGTATGTATGTATGTATGTATGTATGTATGTATGTATGTATGTATGTATGTATGTATGTATGTATGTATGTATGTATATAAATATATATATATGTATATATATATATATATATATATATATATATATATATATATATATATATATATATATATATATATATATATATATATATATAATCAAATATTTTCTTATTGAAACCTTATAACCGAAAATGCCATTTAACTTACATTTACTTATATTTAACAAACTTCTTGTGCAGTTGCTATATTATGACCATTATTATTTTTTCGTCTTTTTTTACAAGAACATCTCTATTGAAAACAAATGTCTTTTTATTTTTGCAAGAAGTTAATGTATAAAGGTCCTGTCTGATACTAAGCTTTGTTATTCTCAGTTTACTAAATCTTTTGTTATCTTACTTTTTAATATTTTCTGGAGACTTTTGGATAATCTTTAATAGTGTCATTAACTAAAGTCTTACATTCCATCTCTAATACACGTGTCTGATATTACTACTTTTCCCTAGAATAAGGCAGTGTTATTAGCAAAGAACTTTTTCTCTAATTTGACTCTTGAATCTAATGATCATACTGTTTCTGCCATTCCAGTTAAACAGGTTAACTCATTGTTAGATATCTAAATGACTTCCATTATTGAAGTCGATTCTTAATTTTAATCTTCTACGGCTTGTAGTTCAGACAACATTTCCATCATAATCTTACTAAAGTGTTCTCCAGTATTCTCTTCAATTATCGCTAAACTACTATTGAGTGCTCAATAAATGGTTCCAACATTTAAAAACTGTAGGAAACACTTTGAGCTCTCCAACTATCCTACAACTAGTTTTTTCTCAAATTTTAGTTTCTTCATATAAAAGTTTTAAGATTAAATCATTTCTTTCTAACCGCAGTATTAAAATTCTTCAAAGCCTACACTCTTTACTACTATCTTTATTTCCAGTAACTTAGGACTACTGCAAGGTTCTATCTTTGCTCCTGTATTGTTTCTTATCTACAATTATAACCTTCCTGATAATTTTAAACCAAAAGTGGCTTTATTAAGTGACAACTCAACTTTATACTCTTGTTTTGACATTTTGATTGCTTAGAAAAAGCGATCAAAAGTCTTCACTTTTTATTGTTTAAAACAAGCAGCTGATCTTTTATTTGATCTCTCTCTACTGTAACAGCTTGGGGAAAGCAGTGGCTTGTGAATTTTAACTCTAACAACAATTAGTTATTTACTGCTAACAACTATTACAATATTGCTGACATTCCTATATTGCTGAATAACAACTCTCTCACTTTCAGACAAGGTCCAAAAGCACATTATAAATGTAGTTGGACCTGCTTTATCTGCTAAGTTTGAGCCACTCTCCTACTATTGTAAGTTTGCATAGTGGTTGCTTGCAAACTTGTTATATATATATATATATATATATATATATATATATATATATATATATATATATATATATATATATATATATATATATATATATATATATATATATATATATATATATACAGGCCTTGCGATAAAGCGCCGGGCGATGTGAATTTTACGCCGTCCAAGAGCGATTTTGCGTGTAGCTAGGGCTATTTGCGTCGAGCAAAAATTTTTTTGTTTGAGTATATTTAAAGATATTTTTGAGCGGAATTTTAATGAAGTAATTTACGATTATTTTAACATTTAATAAAGTATTTTAAAAACCGCACGCAGTTGATATAAAAGTTTGAATTACAAAAAAAATAAATATGCTCATTATTTACAAGTAGAAAAAATTCAGATTAAAAAAAGTTTAAATCTTTTTAAGCTAGCATTTTAATAAAATTAATCAACAATAGCAAAGTTGTCGATAAAATTGAACAAAAATACTTTCTTTTAATTTTAGATTTTTAACTTAAATAATTATTTTACGGGGGTTTGTTAGGTTTTAAAATTATTCCATAGATTTAAAAATATTTATTAACTGTTAGACGAATTTAAAGTATTTAAGAGTAATTTCGAGGAAACATTTTAAAAATTGGTAAGCGCAAATAAAAAAAAAATAAAAGGATTAATATTAAAACGTATTCTACTTGATTCAATAAAAAAGTACAGTTATTAAAATTTTTGTAAAAAGTAACTCGAAAAAAATTACTTAAATAATAACAACCGCTTTTTTGTTAAAAGTTACCGAAACTCAACAAAGCATGCTCAAGAACAGCTGCTAAAAAATAGAACGCCAATAGTTTTTCAAATAATTTTTAAGAATAATTTTTTCGCTGAAATATGTCTTTTATACCTATAAGATTTTTATTCTAACATTTTATTTTATTTTATTTTACCAAAAATAAAATTCCTTGTAAACATGAACCTTGAAAACTCTATTCAAAACGTTCGTTAAAGTTTTTTAATAATACGAGTGATTGTGCTTATCAAACGCTTTATGAAAATAAATAAAAATAAATAAATAAAAAAATATTTTATAAAATCGCTAGTAAAAATATTAGCTATTGCACAGTTTTTAATCGTACAATATTAAAATTTCTAGTTTATTACTCTCTGACTTTTTAAAAAGAAAAAATAATTGAAAAAAATAATTGAAAATTTGAAAAACTTATGTTTTTTTATTCGTTTAGTATAGACAAAACGTGTCAAACGTCGAGAAAATAAACAAATGTTTTTACATTTTAAAAAACGAAACATTCTAAAACATTTTTAAATAATAACATTTCTACATTAATGATTTAAAGTAGTTTTGCGGTAATTAAGTAAATTGGTGCAGTTAATGTCGATAAATATGAAAAGCAAATAAAAAGACTTTAATGACGTCAAAAATCACGTCGTGCATATGCGTCGCGCTGTTTTTATTCATCACAAGGCCTGTGTATATAAATATATCTGAATTAGGGTCGGCATTCAGATATAATGACCTAAGGGTGTTTGAGGTCAGCAAAAAAGTCGTTGACCTCATTTCTATATTTTATGGTAACTTGTGTCAAATTTTTTTTGCTGACATGATGCCAACCTCCAACAGTTTAAATGCCGACCTTATTTTTCCTAATTCCGAGGGTTGATATATATATATATATATATATATATATATATATATATATATATATATATATATATATATATATATATATATATATATATATATATATATGTATGCATATATACTCCAGTATTTTATAAATAGTAAATGTATGCATTTTATAATATATAAAGTATTATAAATTTCTTTCTATCCTATGCAGCTATCAACCCCTGCTAAATTTTATAATTTTGCTGGTGCTGGGTAAAAAGTCTCATTTTTAGACAGTGCCGGGTCTTCGGTCACTTACTTGCAATTAAATTTATTATAAAAATAATATTTTACAATGATACAATTTTCATCATCGTAAAATATTATTTTACAATGATGAAACTTGATGAACACTTAATTGTCATTCAAACTTTTGTATCAAACTTTTTTACATGATTTTCTGCCAAAAAAAAAAAATTAAAAGTTGCTTAACCAAAATCGCTTTAAATGTACGTAAAAGAGCTTAATGTGTACATAAATTGTAAGCTGCTAAACATTTTAAAATAAAACCTAATATATATATGCACAATTATTATTTTTTAATGATGTTCAACTCTCTAAGGTGGAAAGGGCCACTACAACCAAAGAGGCTACTTTGTTGTGGATACAACCCTCTCTTGAACTCCAAAACACAAACTTTGACAAACAAGTTTGCTACACAGAGAAACAAGTTGAGAACAGTACTACCAGATATGTGGTGGGGATGGAACTCGGAACTACACTACTATTGCATACAATTAAAGGGTATATGCAGAAAAATATATGCAATGACAGCATTTATACCATACTTCCTCCACATTTTATTTGTTCAAATTAAAAAAGATTTTATTAAATTATAAATTAGCTATACATGTAAAGCTGTTTGAAAGCACCATTTTTGATTGCTACTTTATAAAAGTTTGAGCCTTCTACTAGAACAACATTAGCTAACACAATTTGGAAATCTGTACACCCATGGTTTACATCAGGAGCTTGTACTCATATTCTTTTTGTAGTTTGTGGCAATTTTATGGCTTGGAGTACAAGACTTTCTTTTGTGGTTGCTCTTTTTTTAAAAATTGACTTGTGTTTTTCAAATGGTGCAACATATGAAGACATGCTAGGTTACTGCTCTCCAATAAATGTTTTGTTGGAAATGGTTTAGTACTATCAAATTTTTTTTTTAACAGTAATAACTTCTTCAAGCTGTTCAATATTTGCAACTCACCTGAAAGAGATGACAATGCTAAACCTTGGTTCAATGCAAAACAAGGCTTTTTATGTCTCATGTTATTGTGTTCTTTTGAACATTTTGAACAAAAAGCAAAGCATCTGATTATTTATTTGAATCATTATCGCTTATCCATAGAGTTAACGTACTTTGGTTAGCCCATTTAACAGAGCCTGAGTGTTTAACTATGAAAAAAAATATAACATTTATAAAATACCTTTACATCTTTTTACATATTGCCTAACATCTTTACAATGCCTTTTTTATGTTTTCTTTGCCTTAATTTCTTTGCACAATTTTAAAACAAATTTGCATATGCTATATTTTAGTATTCAACGTGCAGCTCTTTTAGCGTCCTTCCTCCATACCTTATTCTAATATGAATTTTAGAAAGTATATTAAACAAATTGTCATTGGTAACATAGTACTGTTCATTTGTTTTTAG